GACCCTGGTCAGGCCCCAAGGGACACCAGCTCTGTTTTTCGCTGCTTTTTCTTTCCACGTCCCCCTACGCCTCGCTTTCGGCAGGCCGGTCTGTTGTCTTGCAACGGCTCAAGTGTTTGAAAAGTTTGCGGCTTTGAATTCAGAAAAAACGTACGGAAAGGTGCCAACTGACGTTCAAGGGGTCCTAATCTCATTTCGGCCAAAATGGCCCGAGATTCGTTCAAGTACAGACGGGCAGTCTTTTGAGCTTGCAGGGCAGTCTTTTGAGCTTGCCAGCGTCCTAAGACCATGACCCGGTCTAAATTCCCGTGCTGGCAAAACCACCACGTGGCCCCACCTCGCCGCAGCGAGTAGGGCCGCAACTCCAGAGCTTCAAGCTGAAGGCTTTCCAGGCAAGTCTTAAAAAGCTTTCGCCAGCGAGCGGGTGCTGGACAGAGTTTTTGGTGAGAGGCGGCCAACGAGGCCCAGTGCTGTACAAATCTAAAGGCAGTATCGTGCCCCACAGAAATGCTCTCCTGGACCCCGGCACGCTTCCCTGCTTTGGTTAAGCCTAAGGCGACAACCACTGTGCGCAGTTTGCTGGAAATTTCCACTTTGTCGCGGACGACATCCAACAACTCTCCGGTTCGGAGAATGCCGTAAAAACAAAGGAGTAAACTGGTTGCAAATGCGAAATGGTTATTACATAGGCTCCATCCTACCATGCTATGCAAGATCAGCTCGGGCATGGGCGGAGCTCGGTTGGGCAGCTCATGGGTGACCCACGTTTTAACCAATCTCCATGCCCCAGGGAGGTGCCCCCGGATCTTTGCATCATGGTCTTGCAGGGAGGCTAAAGTATCGGCGGCCAGACCACGCCCCTCCCCGGAGAGCCACAAGTGCTCTATGTATTCCATCACAAGAGGGTCCAGGTTTTCACGTTTACTTGGGAGAGAGAGACCTTCACTTTTCAGGAAGGTCAAGAAACGATTCAGGGCTTTCTCATAACGAATCCGTGTAGATGGTTGCACCGTAAGCTGCCGCAATGTGCCTAGCTTCTGCCGATCATGCGCTCTTCTGGCCTGCGTCGACCCTTCAAATAGGGCCTTTGGCATGGCGGAACTTAGTTTTCACTGACCACCGCGACGGGCGATCCGCCGGGTTGAGGTCAGTGCTCACATACCCCCATAGGGCTCCTACATTATGGGCCAACAAGAGCGAGTTGATACGGCATAGTGTCCTCCTCAAACGTCTGCTCGACGTCCGCCCCCCCGTCATGCTATGGAGGCACACGAGCGAGTCGGTGAGATGCAAAATACGGCAATCATGTTCACGGCGATGTTCCAATCTCCATCTCAAGCATGCCAGGGTAGCACGCATTTCCAGGGCATTTATGTGTTCGCCCCAACCATTTCCATCCTGCAACGACCTTCCACTTCCACATCTTTGGGTTCACGGTGTGCCTCAATCGCTGGTGCTCCGAAATTTCGTCAGGGCTGCTTGTCAACATGAGGTCTGCGCCTTTTGTAGAAACTAGGCGTCCGAGTTGGTTCACTAAACTGCTCTCCGTAGTCGGGCTCAGTTGTAGGTCTGGACGAAGTGGTGGCCTCATCAGCCTCGACTGCAAAAAAGGGTTTCCCTCAACGTTCAATCGCTGCATCACCTGCTGCGGTGTCAAGGCAGGGGCAAGTCCCCAAGAACCAACTAGCTGTCCTATGAACCATGTCACCACCGGCACTGACCATGCGTTCCCAACGAGGCTGAGTCTCTTGTCGAGGTATTCTTCTTTCTTGCGCTGAGACTTTGGCAGGCACATCTGCGTGTACCCTACCGGAAGCCCCATCATGTACTCGCGTTCCCGAATCGAAGGGATTCGGAACTCCCCTTTGCGATTCTGGAGGCAATGTCGGGGTAGATATTGGTATGGTGGGAAACGGTGGCGATCCGCTACCCAACGTGCTAGGGTGTCCTGGTCACAGGCATGCAAACCTGCAGGGCGGTGGCCTTGATGTGCTCGAGGTCGAGATGTGGTAAACGTCGGAAAAGCCTGAGTGGCATCCACTTTGAACCAACCTGCTTCAACTGCATTTTCCCAACTGCCGTCGTGCACTAGCCTCACCACACGGTCCTCGATCTCCACCTCTGGTAGCCTGCCTTCCAGCTCCCAAGTCACCCAATACAAGCGTGGTCGATTGCACCACGTCAGGGAGCCGGCATCGCATACCCAGGGATTGTCCCCGAAACTGGCTGACATAACCACCTTGTCGGCGTCGTCCATCGATGCCACACTCTCCATAATGGTGTGGGTCTGAGCCCAAGGGAAATGCTTCTTGACCATCTCCGACAGCCGCTGTACATGGATGAACAATGACGACCTCTCGTCTCGTAGTGCTCCTTTTCGCTGGCTATTTAACCCTGATACCCCTTGACAGGGCGGTCCCGCCCCGAGAAGAACCATCTCAATCTGACCGTAGGTCAACGACCATTGCACCACATCCTTCTCCGTGATCTCCACCACATCGGGATAATGCAGAATACCAGGAAAAGGATGTTCGACCACACGCCTGGCCGCAGGGTCCTTTTCGACCGAGATATGCCCCGCTACTTCGCATCCTAACAGGTCCAGCGCTACTCGCAGGCATCCAATCCCATCAAAGAGACCGATGCTCAACACCCGGCCTCCACGCACATCAGAAACCTCACAGGGCACCGCCCCGTCTGCCACTTGCCGCCCGAACATAGTCAACCCGGTTGCCACACAGACTCCGCCTCCGTGCTCTGAGGCATCACTGCATGTAACGGTTGAGTTCAAGGTCAACCGGAAGCTCATGCGACATAGAGGAATGAGGCACAAGAACCTGTAGATCTCCACCTTCACGCCGGATGGAATGGGAAGCGAATGCCTCCCCCCATGGTTGAAGGACTCGATGAATCTCCACACCTGGTTCAAACCTCCCAACAGTTGTCGTCGAAAGGTTGAGAAATATACCAGACCCCCGCATACAACCTGCATCTGCCTTTGCGTCGCACGTGTCTCCTGCATGAGCTTGCAGGCAATGGTGATGTACTTGGACAACTTTTGCCCCTTAGGGAATGCAATACCCCGCTGCCCATCAACAACTGCTCCCTGCACCTCTGCGAGTCCTTGTCTATTCACTGCCTTGCCCGGATGTCGCGGTAGCCCCCAGGCTAAATATTCCTCCCGCAGGGCCTGGACCTCTGGAGCTACCGGCCCCGATGGGTCCACCAGGGTCTCGCGTGGGAATTTCTCCAGTAGGTCGTAGTTGTCCAAATACACCCTCCACGCGGTCTGCCCCGCAGGCAAAATCTTATCCTTTCGGATCTCTTGCCCGCTTGTATTTCGTGCCCCGTTGCGTTGCTGTGAGCGATGCACGAGTACCCTATGGACGTGCTGAGCGATCCGTACACTGTTTAGGAACCCCACAGGCAGAACCTTTGAGCAGGGATAGCAGACTTGACCAGCATACTCAGGCGGCACCAAATCAGGAGGCAGGGGTTTGTTGAAGCAAAGGAAAGGGAACCAGCAGGGTGGCAGACTCAGAGTATAAAAGAAACACCGCAGGTCTTCGCTTGAAATCACCAAGTGACATCCCAAACCAGTGGGGTAAGGTGTGTATGCCGCCTCTCATGCCATGACATATGTCATTGAGTGGCACTAAATTCATGATCAGGCGGTAGATCGGTGTTCCTTCCGCCTCTTCGTTTTTCTCCACTCCAAATAGTCCGTTAAGAAGCAATGTTGACCCCACTTGAAACACCTCTGATTCAGGGACCACCCCGAAAATGCCTGCCTTCATCAAGCCTTGTGCTACCTCATGCCAATCTTGATCTCGCACCATCACCCGCGACTTCCGACACTTCCCCCACTCCGAGCGAGGCTTCAAGAACTCTGGAAAGTTTTCAATAATTATAGTAACGACAGCCCTGCTCACAAATGTCGGTCAACCGAGCAACGCCTATCTCCTGCGGTAGAGCGGGTCTAATGTTTGCCCACTTGAAACTCAGCGCTGTCTTGACTTCGTCCCCCTTATAGTCAATTGTTCGTGTCCGGAAAAAATCCCCCCAGTCAAAAGAATCGGTGGTCTCCGTAATGTCCTTCATCCGAGTCACGTCCTCAATCAGCCCCTGGATGACTCGGGCCTGCAACTCCGACATAGGATGAAGAGGTCCTCCTGCTTGTGATTCCTGACAGGCGGAATGATGGCACCCCCAAAGAGAGTTCAATGCACAGCATACAGCAATCAACCAATCTATACACCAAAGTTGATGCGGCATCAAAAGTGAAACCAACTGGATCCGGAGGGTTGGAAGAGGAAAAGTGTCATTACCTCGAGCATTCCCCGGGGTGTGACTCTTCCCTCCCGTGGTCTGGCTGCAGAGCTTTGAAACCCTCCGCATCCCGTCCAAAAGATGATCCCCCGGCTCCCAAACTTGCTTTCCACACACGTCATTTTCTTCAAACTCCATGGGGTCGTGCCCCGACGTCATATGGGATGACAGGTCCTGCCGCGCTGGTTTGTCTCGCGCAGCCTCCTGTGAGAGCCCAAACGGGAAAAATATTGCATCTGCTGGCGTCAACCGCTTGAAATAGGCGCCACCAACATGGCTCGCAAAAAAGCCGTTCTCTTCAGGGTTCCCACCCCGATCATAGCCAGCTGCTTCAGGGCTCTTGCGCCCTGTCCCAACCGGTTCACCTTCCATCTTGGCTGCACTCATACTGTCAGGGCTTTCCAACCCCGGGCGGTCTGTCCTCAGCCGTCCTTCTTTGGCTTGTCCTTCCCTTTTTTCCTTTTTCCTTTTCCTTTCTCGCCCTTGTCTCCTTTCGGTGCCTCCTTCCCAGCTCCCTTTGGCCACCAAGTGCTGCTCTGATGCGCCTGCGCCTCCGCCTTCTGCTCCGTGGCTGCAATCTTGAGCTCCTGCCTCGAGGAGATGGTGGCCATGTCGCTGGGCAAGAGTTCTAGCCGCTGGGCTGACGCCCATGGGAGGCCGCTGACTTGGGCCTCGAGCGACTTCACTCTCTGAATCAGCGTGTCGAGGGCAGCCGGTAGCTGCCCCCTCAACACCAGGTCGCCCACCGCACATAGGGTGTGTAGTTCCCTCGACATTGGTCCTGAGACTCTCCTGGATAACATCTGTCTGTAATAACGCAGGAGCGTGGGAACCCAGCCTTCCGGCTGGTTGGCTTCGTGACCAGCTTCTAGTAGCATCAGCTCCTGCATGTCCTCGATCGCCTGAGCTGACAGTACTCCAGGGTAACTGACCCCGACGGCCCGAATGCGATGAGCTTCTCCGAAAATCGCCTCCCCTTTTCGAGGTGCTTCGATTCTGCTGCTGTCTGACCCGCTCTCTGACTTCCCGCGACCCGCCTTCCTGGCGAATCGCTGAGCGCGGCGCCTCAGGCGATTGCGAACCCGTTTGGAGGGATCGAGTCCGCTTCGCCCGAACATGACCTTTTGCGTCACCGCCTCGAACTCCTTCTCTGAACTGGGGCTTGAGCTCGAACTGGTCTCGGCAGGGCTTTCGCCCCGTTTCTTCTTCTCTCCACCCTTCACCTCCTCTTTTGCTGCCTTCTTCTCCTTTGCAAGCTCTGACGGGCTTCGATCTCTCTTCCTTGACTTCCGTTTGGGCGTGCTCGAGCTTCTCCTTCTCCTCTTTTCTTTTTTCTTTTCTTCTTCTCCTTCTTTCCTCCTTCGTCTCGTTTGGCCTCCTTCTCGTGTCGACCTCCGGGCGGGGCCGCAGCAGCTGGCAGTCCTTCCATGCGCTCTCGAAGACCTGCTAGCTCGTCTCCTCCCACTTCGACCGCGCTCACCAATACGTCTCTCCATGGGAGATCTGCCAACTCTCCTAGGGCTCCAATGCCCCGTAGTCGTCTGCAGTGGATGAGGCCGGGTCCCGCTGACTCCCCGGGGCACTCCTCCTCGCATAGGTGCACCTTCGCCAGCAGGCCTTTGCTGGAGCCCCACGTCAGCAATGACTCCAAATCCGTGCCCATGAGCTTGATCATGAAGTAGTCCCCTGAGGCGTCTCTGGTCTCTTCCATAATCCTGCCAGTAAACTGGCAGTTGTTCCGGCCTCCAGTCCGTGAACTAGATCTCCCACTGAAAGCCTCCGGTCTCTGACAGGCTCCTGCCCCGTACTTCCTCCGCCGCCGCAGCGGGCCGATGACGCACCCGTGGCATCCTCGGCCCCACCGCGGGCCTGCGTCCTACTTTCGGCGCCATCCTTTCTTTCCTCCTTTGCTACGGCTTGCGCCGTGATTGGAGTAATACTGTCCTCGAAGGACGTGCTTGTAACCTTTCCACCTAGGTGGCCTTCGATCGTCCTCCTCGAGATATCCTGGAGGCGAATGCGATGGGGTCCGTGGCCGTCTCGGCAATGGCTCCCTCGATGTAGGCCTCGAAGTGCCTCGACCTGTTCGAGTGAGGCTGTATCGTCTGTCTGACTCTGCGTCCTCGTGTACTTCCTCGGCTGATGCTTCCTCCACGTCAAGGGCTGATGCCTCGTCCTCTGCTTCAACCTCTTCTGCGAGGGGTTCTTCCTCTGCTCTCTCTTCCTCCTTTTCAGGGCTTCGTTTCCCCCGTGTGGTCTCCTTTGCTGCTTTGCTCCGTCGGCGACTATGCGATCTCCTTGGTCTTGATCTCGTGCGCCTTCGTCGGCGTGATCTGTCCTTCTTCTTCCGACTGGGTTCGGCCTCTGCAAGTGGACCCTTGTCTTCTTCGGATTCCTTTTCGACTTTCACCTGCTTCTTCGAGGTGCTCGCTTCCCCGTCTGCCTTCCCAGGGTGCTCCCCCGCCGTGAAAGAGTCGGGTCCAGGACTGGTTTCTTGCTGTACCTCCTTCACGCTAGGGATCGGTGCCCCGAGTGAATCGCAAAGTCCAGCAGTCTTGTCTGACTCGTACTTTTCACAACCAGCCTCAACCTTGTCGCAAATGGACCTCAGGTATAGGTAGAGCTCCTGGGCAGCGTACGGAGAAGCACGGGTGAACACCAACCGCTCTAGCCGAACCACCACGTAGCAGGGATTGCAAAACCCCGAACTTCCCGCGGGTAGCTGTAGCCGCCCGTGGCAACCGCGGCACGCCGCGGACATGAACAGCCAAAACACTGCGGAACAGAGGTATACGGTGGACTACTCTTTACACCCGGGGGCGGGCAACCATATACGGCATCTTATGCATAGAGGGATTGTAGAGGTGGGGCAAAGAAGAAGGGTTTCTTGGGCCTACTCACAACCCACGGCACTGGTTTCTTGGGCCTACTCACAACCCACGAGGCACTCACCAACCCCATGTATGGGACCGATACAGTGACAAACAAGTGTGTTGGAGCTTGGCATGAGCTGCTCGGCATTGTTTTACATCAAACTTCATGAGTTATACTATATTATAGAGTACCTATAACATAACTCATCCCATCGCAACGCCAACTTCTCAAGGCCTCCCTCCTCTGTTCCCCCCGGTACCACATCATGGCGCCACGTCACGCAGCAACGCACAGCCCTGCCCGCCGCGGGCCACGCTGGCGGAGAAGATGCGCCGCGTGGGCTTGGCCCCAAAAAGCGCTGCTTCACCGAGGAAGCCGCCACGGCGGTAGCGCCGGAGCTCGCGCTTGCCTTTGCGAGGGCCCGGGTTGGACAGTGGAGTCCAAGGTGGACAGTCGGTGGAGTGTTTGTCCTTTTTTTACGGAGATCGAGGGATGGTGGGTAGGCAGTGCGTTCAAGAAGAGAGAGGTGGCCTGCTGCTTAGTGGGGCCGTTTTAGAAGCCGAGAAAATCACCGCAAGCCAAGGCACCACGTCGGGCAACCACCTCGCCTGCCAAGAGAAAATACCTTAGCTGGATGACATTGAATCATTTGAACGCAGTTTCGCCCGTGCAAAGCACAGGTGCAACCCTGCCAGGCAACTTGCATGGCTTTAAAGCAGGAGCTGAGAACATGTCATGTTCAATGTGAGTTGCTGCGGTGCGGTGGCCGGCGGCTGCCAGGTGAATGATCAATTTCTACAAATTCCACATCTGGAGGGCGGGATCACATGGGTCTGCCTGTGCAGTGCCTCTGGGAGCCGGTACGTTTGTCAGAACATCTTGTCAAGGAATTGAAAGCAAACTTGCTTGCAGCCCCAGTAGCTTCTTGTTCCTAGTAGTAGTAAGGCCAGGAGCCCCTAGTAGCGTCCTTGTTCCTAGTAGCGATGCCAGGAGCCCCTAGTAGCTTCTTGTTCCTAGTAATAAGGCCAGGAGCCCCAACTTATCTTCAAATCCGATTCGACCTGAACAGCATGTGCGAGGAAGTGCTGAGCGCTTTGCTGGTACAAACCTCACGTTCGCTGCTCGCCACTAGGACTTCCCGCCGCCACTTTCCGCGGGCCATGTTCCAAAGGTCATGGACAAGAACCACAAACTTTCCGAGTGCTTTGCTTTGCATCAACCTTTCCCAAAGAAAAAAAAACAGGGATGTAAACAGTGACCCCATAAGACTGGGCCTGGGATGAAAATAAACACCTAATTCGGTTGCAACACTTTTGTGGATTGGATGCCCCGCGCTCAAAAAAACCGTCCAGCTAAGCATTGTCCAATTGGCTCAAGCCAGGAAAAAAAGACATTGGCAAAGCGGCAAAGCAGCAAAGCAAAGCCCGACTCCCATATGTATTGTTGACGTTTTTTTCCAGGAAACACATTCAAGGCTCTGCTGAGTTTCCTTTTTGTCAACAGACATGCTCGTCCAAAGTGAGAGTTTGAGCCAGTAAATCACTGATAAATGGCATTTTGTCACCGACGCACTGAAGAAGTAAACCAGCACCCATGGTTAAAAGTTAAAAAAGTACTTAAGACAACAACTCACAGCGCCTGGCAGAACAGCACAACGCACAGGAACAAAACACATCTCCAAAAGACACGCTTAGAGTTTCATCTGACTCCGACTCAGAGTTTCATTTTTCAGAGATTCCCTCATCAAGAATTTGGTGACCAAAATCAACATGCCACACAAAATCATCATGATTTATGTGGCATGATGTTGTTTCATCTTTTAGAGCTTCCTTCTTGCCAGAAAATCATGCCACTTGGCTCTGAACCTCGGCGAAGCAATGCTCCCCTCGAGTCGACACTGTCCGAGTCGCAGAAAGTCCCCGGTCTCACCGACATTGAAGAGGCTCGCGCCAGGCGGCACCTCATTGGCGTCTTGGCGGAGGTGGAGAGCCGATGTGGCACTGCCTGCGGAATCGTCCCTTGTACGTGTGACCCTCCTCCCAAATAGATTCAAACAGAACCCAAAAATAAAACGAAAACTCCATGTTGAGGGTATTATTTGAGGGTATGGAGATTGCGTCACTTGATGTCACTTGGTCTGATAAGCCTCTGCATGCAATCCGTTGGAACAAACACAAGCCCGCAGATCTCCGGCCTTAAGAGCTCGGATACTTTCTTAGCAAGGCTCAGGTGCAGAAGAATGTCACACTTGGCAAATCCAAACATGAAAAACATCCGTGTGATCTAATGTGATCTAATGAATGAACAAAAACCAGTCACCCCATTGGATAGATTTCGGCTCAGATTCTCACATGTCCCAAACCTACCAAATACCCCACACAATACACAATCCAACAACCATGACTTGGCGAGCTGATGCACCCTCCCTGCCCAAGTGATGGAGTCGAAGGCACATAGAAAGGCCCCTGGAACTCACGAGCCAAGTGCGTCAGATCTGATTGATCCAGCTCTGCAAACATCGCAAACCTTGGAGCAACCAGGCCGCTCCGTGATGGAAACCAAGGGACGATAGGACTCTGCCAGTCCGGTTGGCTGGGACTCTCTGGTGGGCAACTGTCCTCAAAAAGTTGTAAAAGCGAAGGAGAAGTGAGAAGTGAGGCGGTCTTGCCTGTGTGGTCGTATCGGGCAAGACCGCCCAAGCCTGGGCACACCGGCGCCTACTATTCCATAATAGTAGGCAAACATCTCTGCTCAAGAAAAGGTTCTAGTTCTTGTTGGTGTTGAAGGTTTTGAAGGTCCCCGTATTTGGAGGGAATAGAAACGACACCCTCGGGAAGGGGGAAGGGGGGAGCAGGGGAGGACGTGATGTTTTAATATGTGGCAGTGGAAGGGGTTCATGTAGACTCTTGAAAAACCCACCCCACATGAATTGACACAACTCTTCCTCCCAAGGCAGGGTAGCAATCACTCAAAAGAAGTGGCGACATTGTCTTTTGCCTGTGCATTAATGAGATTCCAGTTGATCCCATGAAAAAAAACCTTAACAACTGCAGGTTCTGAAGCTCCAGCCTACTCCATGCACTCGAGCTCCGGCTCCTACTCCGCTCCTACTCCGCTCCTACTCCTTACGTGTGGTTCGGCTCTGCTGTCCGGTGACTCGGCCAAGAGTTCCCTCCGCGTCTCACGGGAGACGGCCGACTTGGAGAAGTTCTGCTTCACTTGGCTTCGGCCTAGGCGGTGAAGCGACCGGAGCGATGGCGCTTCCCGCCATCTTCGTCACGCAGCGATGGATGTGACATAGACAAACGTTTTTCTGGTCCGGATCGACACCGGAATTCCACGGTCTGTGTGGTTCAATGAAGCTGGAAAAATAGGGATTCATCCCAAGTACATTGGTTGAACAAAAATATCTGAAACCCATTGAAATGTTGCGTCATGATGTCATATGATGCCCAACTAAAGAAAAAGTGAACCCTCATCCAAGACGCATGTCTGCTGAGGAAAAAAGAACATGCATGGTGATGGCCTCCAGCAAGTTATACTGGCTTTCCAGGGAGATTGGAGAAAGCTCCGTGCACAGAACACTCAATCCTCAAGCACTCCAGCTTGACCTGGTCTGGAAATGTAGCACCAAAACCCCCAAAAATATATGGCCACTCTTTGCACCATGCAAGCTCGAAGATCGGCTCGCAAATCTGTGCAAGCGTCGCAGGCTTGGCAAAATCTCCAGGGTCTTCCTCGTCGAAAGCGTGACCAACGCAACGCGGCACGTGGCCGGGAGATGGGGAGTGATTCGTTCGATCGCGAGCATGACGAAGCATGCAGCAACGATGGCCCTAGGCCCTAGTGCAGCAACGATGGCCACTCCTTGTAAGGGGGTTGAATCTTAAGTTGTGCACTTGCGGAGTCTTACAGACTGAAGCAAGGTGCGCAAGCCTCTACATAACAAACCAGCCGCTGTATCTCTCCCTCATGTTGGCAGCATCTCCCTCATGGTGGCAACAGTCCAAGCATCAAATTGCCCAAGATTTTGCTGTCCTGCACCTACCAGTCGCGTGGCCAGGCCACAGCGATTCAAGGCAACAAGGGAAGGAACCAGTGACATCACATCATCATCACGTCTCAAGAATCCAAAGGAGAAAAAACACAAAGAACCTTTCGCCTTGCAATTAGTCACTTGCCGCTTGTGCCATGCTATTCCGTGCAAATGACATGAACAACTGCTCAAGATCATGTTCTTCAATTGCCAATAGTAACGGGCCAATCAAACATGATGCTAGTCATGATGCTCTTGTGTGATGTTCCTCGTCCTCGACAACAGAACGAAAGCAAACATGTCTTGCAGCTTGCATCACTTGGGAAATGATTTTTTTCCCACTGCTACAGTCGTTTCAAACAAATGGCACAACCCCCAAGATGTCTTTTAGAGGTGGGTCTGAACCACCGGAGATTGATCCCATCGAACCCTGAAAGCCACTGTAACAGGTGTGTGTGTGTGTTTTTTTGATCCTGGCCTTTTCTGACCCCCAAACCATTCCACCCACGTTACGGCCAACGCTTGCGGCGCCGCGGCCCACGGCCGGCCTTCGGTGCCTTTTTCTTCGGTTTCCTGGCGCGTTTCGCCACGTCCAGGAGCGTCTTCCGGCGCCGGATCTCCTGGGAGTCTTCGGCCATGCGTCATGTGTGAAGGTACCAGGCTTAAGCTGTTGCAATATATACTCAAGGTTCATGAAGGCTGCTGCTAATTCTGAAACTCTCATGAGGCACACTGCACACATTGAAAATATATTGACATCAAAAAGCTGTTCAAGTGCCCCAATACTGCTGATCCCCTCTCCACTGCTCCACAAAACTGGGGTCTCTTCATGTTTCTTGAAGATTTGTCGGAGATCAATGCAAAGATCAAGTGCATCACACTTCAAGTCCACCGACAACATGTTAAACCATGTTGCATGGGTGTTGTAGGATACCTCTCAACCCCCTAGGGTCAATCGTTTACTTTTCCCAGATTCCGGGACATCGATGAAAAACAACTATCCTTTGAGTCAGCACTTACGAAATCGTTCACTATACAAAATCCATAAAATTATCTATATCCAGGCTCCCCAAAAAGAGCATACAAGAACAATCACGGGCAATAAATGTCCCTTTTCAAACTCAACATATAGATTGTGTCTTTTCATGCATTGAATACCCTGGAAGTCGAGGACCATTTTTATAATGTAGGTTGATACTCGACCATTTTATAGAGCAACCTCGACCATTTTTATCAAATAACGACCATTTCCCAATATCTCCACACAGGTGTCATGATCTGCCCTGCCGATTCTTGCTTGAGCGGTGTGGTTCTTTGATCATATTGACAGATCAATCTACATTAAATCACGTTTGCATCAATCATTTGCAATATCTGATGGGTCTTGTATATGCCTTCCTGAATCTCCCGTGCTCCGGATGAATGGATATCCTCTTGCCCCTCCTGATCCACATTATTGATCTAACTGGTGGATGGTGGGGGCCTCAACACGATTTATGAGTTTGGACTACCTCTTTTGCAGGGGTCCCCCATTTCCTCTCAACTTGCCATCCGTCGAGGTCTTAACTGATGGATGGGGAGCAAAAGAGCTTTGCTCCGTGGTAAGCTTCTTAGCTTCCTGCAGGTTCTTGATAGGGCTCCTTTGCCCATTCACCGACGGTGGCCCAGGACTGGAGGAGGAATCTGATTTGCATCGTCGTGCTGGCGACTATGATGATGGAGGCTAGATGCACAGTGGATTTCAAAGCGTGGGATGGGAAGTATCTTTCTTGGAATCCCTATTCATCACTTATCTTCCTAGTCAGGTGATGTTAGGTGTGTCTCAAAAATGATTGAGACTATTTCTCGATCATGCTATCCTAATCACCATGCACCTGGTGGCCCAAGTTGCCCACCGGTCTTGAAAGACCAGCATCACGCTTGGGTGACCCTTTTCCAATCCAACGATGGCTTCTGGTGGCAGCGCTGAAGATGACATCAACCTGCTCAAGGCAGGCAGTCGATAGTTTGGAATCATGGGAACCATGATGCCTGGGTAGGTGCTTGGGTGAACACCTTGGGACTAGGCCTTCTACTCTGACATCTTGGAGAAGGATGGTTTCATCCGGCGCAGGAGGAAGTTGTTGCGCACACGTCTTCGATACAAGGAAGGTGATCCAGAGGTACTTTGATGTGAAAAAGTTGGTACCTGTTCAACAGTGTGAGTGCACTTGTTTCCTTTGTTTTCTTTTTTGGGGTGGTGGGGGGGTTGGGCACAAGCCTTACGTCGTCATGTGAGGTACCCCGGTTCAAATTTGTGATTCGCTATGCCAAAAAGGACACGATCCAGGAACTGGAGGCTGACAAGTTAACTCATCGCATCTATTTTTCCGCTTCATTTAAAAGAGAGTATGTGTGCAGTTGAAGCAAAATGAACCTCTGCACTGAGATGGAGCAACTGCCTAATTATGAATTCCTGACTGACTTCTTGGCGCAATTCGCTGATTGCTTGCCAGCTGAAGCATCCATGAAGGACATGTTTTCCAGTTAAGTTATGTCAGGTTGGCCACCATCATTACTTATCAATATTACTAGACGTTAGATCTATAAGATCTACTAAGTGCTATGATCAAAGAGCTATCCAAAAGAGACTCCAAAAGAGCTAGCATGTATCTGTAGGAAGCCTTGATCTATGTGTCTGAGCACTACAACTTGAACCCCTCCTTTGATTGTCACCGTGATCACGTCGTATCTTGGCAAATTAAATTGATAATGTTCGTTCAAAACGATATGATCTTTGCATATGTGTGGGTGTACATGCTTTGTGTGCTTTGCATGCATCAATTTTTGCATTCAAGGGATGGGCTGAAATCGAAGCGGGCACACAAAGGGCCATGGCCATGTACTGCATGACGCGATTCCAGCGGAATCCAAGTGCAAGGACTTATTTTTGTTGTGATTAAATCATCGCATCAGATGCATGCATATGAAGGCCTAGCAGTGCAGTCTGTTGGAATCACTGCCTTTGCCTGGTGGGGAGGAAACAAAACAGTTCCATGGCCAAGCTCAAAGCCATAGTCAGGGCCAAATTGGAGGCTCATTCATGTGCACATGCACTACATGCAATTTTGGGCATGTGGGCAAAACTTTTGCATTGATCGGCATCATTCATCGAATAAATAGCATTGCTTCCTGATGGAGGCTACTGGCAAACTCACGAAGGAGGGCAAGAAACTTGCTACAAGAGGTAGATCGACCTCTGTCCAGGACAGGGATTGTTGCACTCTTGAAAACCACATCTCTTATGTCTTATGTGTCTTATGACTCCTCATGATTGATCTATGTTGGATCATTTTTATTGGGAGGAGCTTAAGAGTCCGGAGGAAGAACTTCATGTTGCAGGCCAGTATTTCAGTTAAAGAAATGGGTCAGTTATATTATAATGATAGAAGTTGTGTGGTAGATAGATTATTTCATTCTCTGATCTATGCCAACAGTGCTGTAATGATATTCGGGCCATGCATGCATGCATATATGCGAATGGATGCATGTTGCGCTGTCATACTTTAGCTTGGCAGGTGGAGCAAAGAAAAGCAAGAGGGAAGATCAGCATCCAGACAACATAGAGACTCTGCCTATGCATTTGGGTGAAGCCTTTGAGGAAGAAGTTTGTGACGATGATCCAATTGAAGAGGCTTCTGAAAGTGGGCAGGAGGAAGAAGAGATTGAGATGATTGAGCAGTTTGAGGCACCTGAAGAAGAGGAGGAAGAGGGAGCAACACAGCACTTCGAGACTGGGGGTGAGCAGGGGGTTCCAGTTGTTTCTCGGAAGAATGCACGTTCTTTTCCAGCAGAGGTGTATGAGCATGATCTGGAAGACTCTCAGTGGCCTGCAGAGCCTTTTGTGGAGGAGGAGAGGGAGCTGGAGGTTGTTGTCAACAACACGGAGGAGGAGAGCAAGAAGGAGGAGGAGAGCAAGAAGGAGGAGGAGAGCAAGAAGGAGGAGGAGAGCAAGAAGGAGGAGGAGAGCAAGAAGGAGGAGGAGAGCAAGGAGGAGGAGGAGAGCAAGAAGGAGGAGGAGAGCAAGGAGGAGGAGGAGAGCAAGAAGGAGGAGGAGAGCAAG